AGAGAGAGAGAGAGAGAGAGAGAGAGAGAGAGAGAGAGAGAGAGAGAGATATAAAGGAATATGTGAGAGATGGGGCGAGTAAAAAGTTTTGCCGCACAGAAAAATATGGATTACACACATGAAACGAAGAAAACGAAGGAGAAAAAGAACTCGTCCGTATTATGCTCCTCATCGGCACACGAGCGAGTTAAGCGTTCCAAAATGTAACACATCTTAATTGAAACCAATATAAAAATAGGACATGTTAATCAATATGTAATGAAGTTTAGTTTTAATTTGAGCACACGATGCACCAGAACCTTGCTCTCTCTCTCTCTCTCACTCACTTACTCCACTTCACTAGTGTACTCGATACAAACGCAAACCATTTTCGATAAATCCAATTTGTCTGGCTTCTAATGTTTCTTGACTATGAATTAAGAGATTACTATGAAGTGCTCAGTCTGTATATAATTCGCTGTTTGCGGTGCATGGTCGTGCACGCTCGCCTGCCCGCCCGTTGCAAGTTAATATGTACAGTAGACGAAAAACCGTAGATAGAGAGAGAAAGAGGATGACGATGCAGCAAAACCGATCGACCAACCAACCGATTGTCATGTACGGCACGTAGAATACACATATTGCAAAACTACATACATGTTATGTGTAGAGGTCAATTTCGATTGTGTTGCATTGCAAAATGCACTCCAAAAAAAAAGAAGAAAAAACCCAGCGAAACAGAAACGTGAAATGAGGAACGAACCAACCAACAACAAAAAATAGACTGCCTGTGTGTATATCACTTGAATGCGACATTGAAATTCTATTTATCAACAGTCAATTCATTATGATAACCAATCATTGGCTATGTGCGGTTGTTGTTGTAACGAAACTCGGCAAAAATTAGTCCTTCATACTAATTACCAACGTCATTCAAAACGTGAATAAGATTCAATATGTGCATTGTCCGACTTTTTGTCTGCTTCGCATCATGATGCTCTGAATCTCTTTCTCTCTCTCTCTCTCTCTCTCTCTCTCTCTCACACATTCTCACTCTGCCTCCCTTGACGCGCTCATTCGCTCTTTATGTACTTCAAACAACATTGTAGAGACATATAACAACATAATTGCGATTGTGTGCACAACGGAATTCCGGTCTTGTCTTTAATGGACCGTATTTGTTGCAACTTTATAACGTTTGCAAATGAGCTCCGTTGATGACATAGAGAGCAAAATAGTTACGAGTTTGTGCTCGCATTGTTTTTTCTATTGATATCAAACAACAACAACAACAATGTGCAGAATATAAAGAGTGCTACCAAATTGATGAAAAGCTTTTAATGCAGTGAGAAAGACAAACTTACTCGCTTTCATTATTATCAAATTCCAATTCGCCCTGAACCATTTCATAATCCCTTCCGGTTTTGGCTGTGCCATCTTCAGTCCAGTATGGTAATAATACTTTGCCGCGTGCTCCACTAAATCGTTGCACTTTCAATTCGTACACACCGACCGATTCACATAGTTCGTGATCTTTTGAGCTGAATGCAAATATACCGCCATGATCATCGTCTAAAATCATTACGGTTGCAACGCTTGGCGTGGCCAAGGTAACATCGGACGATGCATTGGTAAGCTTAACATAAAAGTGTTCGTCCTGTTCAAAAACATCGTCGTCGATAACTTCAATGCGGAATCGTTGCTCATCAACACCTGGCTTGAAAATAAGCGTCCCTTTTTTGCCAACATAGTCACTGCCTGCTTCTGCCGATCCATCCTCGGTTTCGTAATCGACGGTGCATTCGCGTGTCAAATCACCATCTCGAACCACTCTCAATTCAAATTCGCCACAATTTTCCATGACCGTATAATGGCCAGGCTCGAAATAGACCTTTATCAAACCAACCTCCTCATCCAGATCAACATCGACGCGTTGCAATTCGGCCTTCACTTCGCTCAAATCAGATTGAGCTCGTTCCGAAATTTTTCGCATAATATTGCCGCTGCCCATCATTTTGCGTGTCGCCTGTATGCGATAGAATGCTCGCGACTTTGGCCCATTGTTCATCAGTTGTTCTTGTGCCATAATTTCTAGATTTTCTAAATCGCTTTGCGGATATTTTCGGCGTAAGTTTTTCAATGTTGTAATGTATTCACGGCGTGCCTCTTCAAAATCTCGTACCTCTTCTGTGATGACGCCACCATCTGTGAACGATTTAATATTATCCTCACGACCATTCATTTCGAATGCAACATCGGCTTCGGTTTGTACCATAACACCATGCTTATTGATACGATACTCTTTGCCAATGTACTTGTAAATGAGCAATCGTCGATCGGCAATGTAGGCCGTGAGCACCGTCAGCGGAAAGAACATGAATGTTAAAAAGCTTTCCCATAGCTCAACCACACCGGGCGAAAAGAAATCCAATATTAAGTACAACCAAATATAGGCGAACACCGACCACGTTGATGTTACAAAAAATACACGTAAATGTTTGATGCGACGCACTTCACCTTTTGGTATGACCAGCACACAAATGGCAATGATAACAAATAGATTGTAAGCGGCCGAACCAACGATAGTTGCTGGCCCTAAATCGCCCGCATCGAAATTTTTTCCGATAATTTCAATGATCGATAGCAAAATCTCGGGTGCACTTGAGCCCAAAGCCATCAACGTTAAATTGGCCACCGTTTCATTCCACACGCGTACCACTACGATTTGAGATTCACCATTTAATTTGCGCACTTTCACCTCCTTTTCCTTCGATGTGATGACTTCAATGGCCGCCATAAATCGGTCCGATACGATTGAAACACCGATAAACAGGTACACCAAGATGCTAAAATAGACGGTGCCACGGATGATGACATCGCGTAGTGTGAGATCATCTTGTGGTTGCCAAACTTTCAATAACAATCCGTCATGACACTTTGTTTTCTCACCCGCCCAATCCAGGCTTTTCGCTTCGATCGTATGATTATCGAAAAATGTGGCACCACTGACGGTCGAACTGGCAGCCATCAACACCAACAATTGAACGATAGCCATATTCGCACGACGACACCTCTTTATTGAATGCATTTTTTATGTTTTATATATCAACAGACGGTTTCTTCGTTGATTTCTTTACAAGCACCCCGTTAATGGCATTAGAGATTTCGAAAAAAAAAAAACAAAATATGAACGAATGCAAAAAAAAAATTGACCACAGTCGATTTCTTCTTCTATTTTTGATTCTTCTAACACCACCAATAATTTATAGATATATATGTATATGTATACGTTACTTTTATCAAAGAAATTCGTTTAAACAGTTGTGTTCTCTATATCGTTTTATTAGTAAATACCCCGTATAAGCCGTCAAGTGATCTGATGAGTAAACAACATTCGACAACTCACTCAAATTTATACACAAATATCAAACCGATCAAAACTTGCACTAGTCACAACAACGATAGTTTTCGTATTTGATTCAATCATGTTTACACGGATTTAATCTTTTGCTGCTACATTCATATGGAGAGAGATAAATAGATAGATAAACACAATTATATTCTATTTGATGGGAACGGCTTCAATTTGATTTTTCATTCACTGCGTGCGGAAAATAGACGATAACCGTTTATATGTGTGTAGTGCGTGACAGACAGGCAGACAGAGAGAATGAACGAGCGAACGAGCGCTTGGCGAGCGAGCAATGAGAGTGAAAAAGATAGAGAAAAGAGCAGTGAATTGCATAAATAAGGTTTTCAACACATTTTCGGCATTTTCGCTATGTAATTTTCTTCGTCAATTTGTCTCTTCTGCCGTTTCCACGCCAGACATCGTTCATTCATGATCTAAGAACAACACTGCTCGTTGTATTTGTTTGCTAAATGCGTGTGTTTGACTGAATATGGTGTGGATTTTTCAATGCAAATGTTCGTTCGTTCGTTATTTATGTATTCATGTTAATTCATTATTTTAATGTTAGTTTCGGTTGTGTTGCTTTTTTTCTTCCTTTTTACATTCCTTTTGGTGACATCGATTGAGTGTATAGTTTTCTTTTTGCTAATTTGAACTTATTTTTTGGTTTGGCAAAACACTTTCTATTTAATCCGTTGTTTTATGCACGGGTCTTGTTGTTGTAAACTATTTTGTTTTATATTTTTTTGCAGGAACAATTTACCAAAACTTATTTTGAAATCTAAGTTGTTGTTGATGACGGAGGTTTGTTTCGATGCGTTTCTTCTTCTTTTTATTCAAAACAAAATTCGTTCAATTTTTTTCATCACATTTCGGTCACAAAAGACCCAACCAACATATATTCCTTCTCTTTTTTTTTTTGATTACATTGATTTTCACTTAAACTATTATTGCTACTTTATTACAACTTATTAACCATTGTCAACAGTTTTTGTGTCCTGTTCGTTAAGCGTTGATGATGTTTGATTGTTCAGCATTCCACATAATATCTGTCGATCACTGCTGATTTATGTATACATTTTCTCATATGTGTGTGTGTGTGTGTTATGAACGAAACGACAAAAACAAAACACAACAAATGTTGATAATAGTCATTTTAGGCCAAAATTTCGATTTGAAAAATTAAAATCGTAAACCGTGGGGCAAGAAAAATTTAGATTTTTTTTAACAAAGGCTTAACAATTCGTCTTGTTTTTTCTTCTTATTTGTCGGTTTCAACGAAGTGTTTTCGTTTTATTTTTCTTTTTCGTATCGGTCTTTTTTCGAAACTTCTTCGTTCTTGGTTTATTTTAAATACTTTTATGTAATTTTTTTTCCTGTTGCTGCTACTGCTAATGCTTTGTTAGTCAGTTTGTTGTTATTATGGTTCGGTGGCAAATATTTATCATTGCATATAATTTATAAAAAAAACTTTTTTTTTTTAAATCACACTTGTTTAAGAAAAATTTTGCACGCATACACAACAGAAAAAAACAGCACAAATTGTCCCGTATATAATATCTATATGTGTATAATTATGGAGATAAAACTGCAAAGGCCTGGTTTTATCAAATTGTTGGTAAATTTCACAAAAAGTCGTCGATAACAACGATGAAGAGAGAAAAAAAAACTGCTTCTTCACGTCCACTTGAAAGTCTTCCTGAAGAGATACGATGAGCGACTGAGAGAAAACTCGTAGGTGATTAAGCACTGAAGAACTTTTTTTTCTTCTGCTACTGTTGATGCTGCTGCTGGAGCTTCAACTGCGTTCGTATCGTTTCGTTTCGTTTTTTTTTGTCAAAAAGTGTTAATCAGTTGTGTCAGTCGTGTGCTTCCTCTCCAAACAAAAAGCAATACAGAATGAAATCCACCTTGACGATGCGATGGAGCACAAATGGATGTGATGATGATGATGACGAGGAGATGGTATGGTGAGAAATGAGCTGTTTTTCACTCGCTTTCTGCCTTCTTGCGCACTTTCTCTTGTATGTAACGACTATATTTTATTTCGTCGCTTCTTTTAATCTATTTCTTTATTTTTTCGTTTACATTTTTTTTCACATCTCCTCCAGAAAACACTCAGCGAAGAATTTCATTTGTTTTTTTTTTTGTTCCAAACAAACAACAGAACACAAATTTAAAAAAAAACTACTATATAACGAAGATGTCAACAGAAACAGAAAGTAAAGTTTCGGAATATAATAATGCTGCTGCTGCTGCTGGACTGTATGATAACGTGCATGTTAGAAAACTGAACGAAAAGCGAATAATTTGCAATGAAAAATCCCTTCGCTTGGATAGCACACAGAAAGAGAGCAAAGCAGAGGAATAACATATATGTATATAGTATATATATGTATATATATGGAGAGAGAGAAAAGACGAGGAAAAAAAATAAAACAACAACGTGTACACACTGACGAAAATGCTAAGAATCAGTGACGAAACGAAGCCAGTAAATTCGTTGTTGGATGGAAAATTTAAAAAAAAGAGATAGATATATAGTAAACATTGCACTCGACTCGTGAACAGTAAAAAAATGATATTATTTTTTTTGTTCAGTAACAGCAACAGCATTTGTTGGAGTTTTTCGTTTGCTCTGTTTGCTATTGCTCTTCAAACCGTAAGCTTTTACACAAATCATCTGCACCATACACATCGATATGGCACGTATCTAAGCGCGCACACACACACACACACGGAGAGAAAGAGAGAGCGTGTGTGTGTGCGTGAGCCGTGGTTACATTTTCACATCGATCAAAAGAAGGGAATTTCACTCATGTGTCGACGGGAAATTAGAAGAACTTTGCAAAGGCTGAGAGAGAGAGAGCTGCCTGCACCCACAAAATATGGTTGCAAAGAGAAGGAACAAATAGAGGCAGAGAGCAGAGAACAGAAAAAAAAGTAATCGTACATCGTATGTAAAGAGTGTGGCGAATGCGAGCGCGCGAGTAACGACCAACAAGCACTTACACACAAATCCAAAGCCGTTGTGGCCTATGTTTCTAAAAAGCGTAATTTAGACACAGCAAGTCACAGAGAGCAGTTGACTTTGGATGGTGGTGAATCGAATGATATGAATGAGTGAGACAGAGACGAAGACATGGTGTGTGTGTGTGTGAGTATGTTTCTCTGTCTTTGTCTCCCTCTATGTGTGTGATATGCAAAAATTAACAAATTTCCAACGGAAAGCACCTAAAAATCGAAGAAAATGCGCAGTTGCGGAAAATGGAACATGTACGCAGATTGATATCGGCCACCCATGTATTTGTGCGTATGTGGCCAAGTACACACAGCATCGAGTTGGTGCTGCGTGTGCATATGTGTCGGTGTGTCAGTCAGTAATTGTATGTGGACAAAACGGCACTTTTCGATCTCTTTGCCATATATTCTCCTTGTATTGTTGCCGCCGTCATCGTTGTTGTTGTCGTTCTCGCGGCTCTCGCAATATAACGCTCGATGCGTACCAGCAGCAATTGTTGTGCTGGGAAAAGTTTTCAGCTTACAAAAGCTATAGTGTAAGCAATTGGTGAATTGCCAGGATGTTCTGATCTGCTCTGTTCTGATTTTCCTTTTTCTCTGTGTGTATGTGCCACACTGCGAGGTACTCTTCCAAATGGATCGCATGCTATTTGGTGCTTTTTTTTTGCTGCCGTTGCTGATTCTGCTGCTGCTACTACTACCACTGCTGCTGCTGTTGCTTTCTATCCCATTTCGTTCCCTTTTAGCAAACGCATCAGTGGCAGGTTTTTCGACAATAAGGTGGTTTGTTAGCGTCTTTTTCGATTTTCCCCAATCCGAAGGCAAAATTGCCTCGCGCGGCGCATTCACAACAATTAAATATTCCCGGAAAATGCTGCAATTCTTCATGGGGCGTATTTCTGAAATAGTTTGCATCTTCTTATTCTCGATATACTTTTTTCTCTCTCTTTGTTTGCTCCTTCTTTTTCTGTCGCCGTTCGTCGTTGTTGCTGATGATGATGCTGCTGCTGCTGCTGCTGCTGCTATTGCTGTTGTCGTTATTTCGCTACCCTCGTCCCATTTGTTCAAAATTTAAGTGGATGCTGTTTGGTGGATGGTGTGTTGTATGTTGAATGATATCTGCATTGGTAACGGGATATAACAAAGCGAGAGATGATAAATAAAAACACGAACAGATATAGTCGAGGCAAAACAACCGTTCACATTTTATTGATGGTGAGCGAGCGCTTAAAGCATAGTATAGTCGAATTTTCCAAAATGATTAATGAGCCCAAAGTTTATCCAAAAAAAATTCGGTTTTGCGTTCGATTTAAAGCATTTCCGCATTGTGTGTGAGCGTAAAAAATGAAATCCATAAGAATGAAAATGGGGACAAAAACGGTATTAAAACGATACGTCACGATTATTCGCCTCCGACTTTTTTTTTCTTCTTCTTTCGTTTGCTCTCTTCGTTTTGTGCGTCGATACCAGATAATAGTATCCTCTTTTTTCCTCTCCGTATTGTCGACAATATTATATTCGTTGACTGCGCTAAGTGATAGGACTTCTGCCATTGTCGTTTCTTTCTCACTCTGTGTGTGTGTTGGAAAATTTTCGTTCGTTGGTTGGTTTTTTCTATTCTCAAGCAGCTGCTCAAATGTACAAAGTCATTTTCGCATGCGATTGGTCCAATAAAGGGCGAAAAATTTTAATATTCCCACATTTATCTCTTTCTCCTTCTTCTTCTTCTTCTTCTTCTTCTTCTTTCTACATTCTACTGAATAATTTCATGTTCTTTTTTTCGATGAATTTCCTTTTTGTTTGTCCCATTTGCATTTCCATTGAGTAGTAGTGTAATGATTCATGGGCGATTTTTTTTGCGGGCCAATATTTCCAAAAAAAACGAAGAAGACATGGAATCAAATTAGATATTTGTCAATCATAAGTTGGCAGCGTATAAACACAATTTTTCTGCTTTTCATTCTGTTGAATGGGTGAGTTTTTTTTTGGTTGCGTTTTGTGTGCGTTTTTGTGGCCCAGGATGCAATGAGATCGCGTGCGCCCTCGGGCAGTATCAATTTTTATGGCTGTGCTTTTTTTGTTGCTGTTGTAATTTTGGCTGATTTCGCTGTCGACGTTTCCTCCATGTAGAAAACCTCACGCATAGAAGCTCATTGTTGACATTTTACATAGTTTTGAGGCAACAAATCTGTGTTTATGTCATTTCAATGGGGAAATGGGGGGAGGGCATTTGTGTGCATTTTGAATTATTATCACACAGTGACACACATGTGTTGTGCGACGTGCTGTGCGCTACCGTGCTGCTGAAATGGACGAAATGCATGTGATAGATGTGTTGCTGATGCTATGTGCTAAATGGAGGGAGAGGAGGAGGACAGCAATGTTCATTGCGAATTCCACAACGTTGATGAGAGAATGTATGTACTAGTTGTGAACACTGACAACACACACCTCATCCACAGCATAACAACCGCTATTTATTAGTTATTAGTATGCGAATGGCCAAATTAATTACATAATTTGTCCGTAATGACTTAATCACGAATGTATGATGTTGCACGTTGTCGTCATCGTCATCTGGGGGAAAACTTAATAGATAACCTCATTTATGATGAATCATCATTGATGATGGTACATATATGGGAAAAAAGATCGAAATCTCGTCGAAATAAATATAAATAAGCATTAAATGATGAAATAATACTCCTCAACAATAACACAATCTGCGATAAAAGAAAAATCCACACATTTTCGATAATTGTACGTGTTGTGCATTGGAATTTTCATTGATTTTTACCAACAAAAAAAATTGCGGTCGTTGGAGCGATAGTCAAACACGATACGCTCCTGTAAATTCCTCCCAAACATTTACTCAACGCTAAATCAAACTGTCGAACGCATTAAATATTCAACGTTTTCTTCATATTGAAAAAAAAAATAGAAAGAGAAAAAAAATGAGCTATTGAGCTTATGTTATCCAGGCACGCCACACGCATATGCATGCCGATGTTGGAAAGCGTACAATTGATTGAGGCATGTTAAACTTGATATATTCATTTCTTTTTACTACTTCGTTCCTTCAACAATTTCATTTGCATTATTGTTGTTATTATTAATTCAATATAACAATATTTTTTTCCGCTGAAAATGCGAACTTATCGATTTTCAACACGGCTAAACAAGCTTAACTCTAACATTTGGAGAGAAATACAAGAAGAGCGAATGAGAGAAAGAGAGAGAGAGAGAGAGAGTCCGAAATTCCACGTACGTTTTTATTGCTGAACATAAAAAAAGCAACAAATAAGTAGCGTATCGCAACTTTATTGACATATGCACCCGAATCAGTAAAAAAAGTTATCGCAAACTTAGAATATTCTTTATTGAATATTCGATTCATATGAATCAGTCGAGAGAAAAGGAGAAAAAAACAGGGGAAAAAAATGGAAAAGCCTTTCTACCTTAAAATAACTTACTCCGTTTCGTTGTTGTTGAAAATGAGTTGATTTGACTGTGTTTCATATGCTTTGCCGCCTTTTGCGCTTCCATCTTCCGTCCAATATGGTAGAGTAACGGTGCCTCGGGCTCCAGATGCTCGCACCACTTTAAGCTCATAAATCCCGACCGTTTCAATTAATTCATGCTCGCTTTCGGCAAATGAAAAAAAACCAGCATGATCATCGTCCAATATCATAATGGTAGCGAGATTATTTGCACCCAAAACCGCACCATTCGTTGGATTGCTAAGTTGAATGTAGAAGTTTTCATCGACCTGCGAACAACAAAGTGTTGATGAGTGCTCATGCTCAATCGAAAAATTGTATTGTTGTCATCAACCTCGAAAATATCGTCGTCCACAATGTCAATTTTGATAAAGCGCTCACTGATCCCGGGCGTAAAAGTAATTGTGCCCGATTGAGCGATGTAATCAGTACCCGCCTCTGCAGAACCGTCTTGCGTCTGATAGTCAACGGAAACATGACCGGAAAAATCACCATGCCGCATAATACGAATGTCAACACTGCCACAATTCTCCATTACCGTGTAATGGTTTGGTTCAAAGCAAATTTTTGGCGTTAAATCATCGTCATCGATCACATGCACTTGTAATAAATCCGCTTTCACTTCATTGGTCGTACGTTCGGCAATTCGTCGAACCACATTGCCGCCACCAAGTAATTTTCGGCCAGCTTGCACGCGATAGAATGCATGCGATTTTGGGGTGGAATTGAGCAGTCTCTCTTGTGCCATCATTTCCAATGTTGCCCGTGCACCGAACTGTGGATATTGTGTTCGTAGGTCTTGTAAAATTTTTATGTATTCCAAACGCAATTTTTCAAGGTCTGTAAATTCGTCGGACATGAGTTCGGTGCCATCGGATTCAAGAATTACCGAATCGGATCGCTGCTCCTTTGGCATTGGTGTGGTATGATCGGTGGTTTCCATTTGAACCATAACACCACGTTCGTTCATACGATAGCCTTTGTGCAAGTATTTGTAGACGAGCATACGTCTATCGGCCACATAGGCCATCCAAACGATCAATGGAAAGCATAAAAAGGTGATTAAACCTTCCCATATTGCCACCACACCCGGGCTAAACACCGCCAATATCAAGTACAACCAAATATATGCGAAAATCGACCAAGTAGCCGTGACGAAAAATACACGCAAGTGCTTAATTCGCCGAACTTCGCCCTTTGGAATGACCATAATACAAATCGCAATGATGGTAAATAGATTGTACGCGGCAGAGCCAACGATAGTTCCCGGCCCCAATAGACCAGCTTCGAATTTATTTGTGAACACCTCAATGATAGACAACAGGATTTCGGGCGCACTTGTTCCTAAGGCCATTAATGTTAAATTTGCCACGGTTTCGTTCCACACCCGTACAATGACTTGTTGCTGCGTTCCATCGGGTCGACGTACACTTACACTTTTTTCGATTGCAGTGATTTTTTCAATAGCCGCCATAAATCGGTCAGATACGATCGATACGCCCAAAAATAGATAGCACATTGCCAAAAAGTACACCAAACCACGGGCAAACCGATCACCGGTTGTTAAATTTTCAATGGGACGCCATGCGGGTAATATTAAACCGTTTCTGCATTTTCCCGCAGATTTTCTTGCTTTCAACGTTTCAAGATTCGATTTGGTGGCATTTTCAACTTGAATTTCGGTACCCGTTAGCAAAGCGCTTTCCGTTTCAGCTTCCGTTTCGGTTTCAGTCTCAGTTTCATTTTCAGTGTTTGTCGTAAAACCATTATCATCAGTTACATTTTCAGCGATTAACTCTTCCGTTGTGCCATCATAATCGTATTCATTTGTTACATGCCATGTGTTATCATCGTCGGTTATTGTTGTATTTGGTATTTCAATATCGTTGAACTTATCGTTGTCGGTGGTGGAATTTTCGCCGTCATCTAAAGCTCTACCAATCGCAAAACTTGTGCACAATATCAACCAAAATACCAACTGTTTCACATTCATTTTTATGTGCATTCCTTTTCTCTTTCCTCTCGCACTCTCGCTTTTCTCTTTAAAATAGCACTCGGTTGAAAAGATAACTGTTTTCGCTTTACTTTGTGGTGATTTAATCAAATTGGCATTTTTGTATCGTATATACGTATTCTCGTTCGTGTGTGTGTGTGTATATGATCCTTTCTGGGTTTTGTTTGAATTTTCAACTCAAAATCTATTCACTCGTTTTCGAAAGTCTTTCGTTTCCCAAACTATATCTATATGTATCAGGTGAGATTCTTTTGAATTTTCAACGAATTAAGTGAGATTTGTCGGCGACGCCGTTTTTATTGATAGGAAAATGATGACATCACTTTGCATTTTACAACGTAGGTTTTTGGTTTCAAAAATGTTTCGTGTTGAACACGTTTGCGGTTTTCGGTTAGCGCGAGTTCTTCGGCCGTGTGACACACACTCTCTCTACGATGTTCGTATGCCTTAAAAACACTTGTCAGATATTTCAAGCTGAACTCAAATTAAATGGTGCACCAATAAACTCAACCATTTTCTCAATGCTTCACGCCACTTTTCACGTACTCAATTAAAATTGCTCACAAATAAATTCTCACACAATACCAGCAATTTTAAGCCGTAAATTACAAACAAAACCGAAAGAATCGAACACAAATCTCATTAATTCATCAGATTAAATGATGGTGAAACAGAAAATTTTAAATTATTTTCGTTTGTTTTTTTTTCTCTCTTCAATTCAAAAAAGAATGTTTCCAGCACATTCTGTTCCGCAAATCGAACTAACTATGACACAGACTAAATTTATACTCATCCTCGACTATTTGAGAAACTAAGCCAGAGGCTGGCTCGGTTATATTGGATGCCAAAAACCTAGAGAGACAAACTGTGTGAGAGAAAAAAATCGTTCGACGGCGCTCATATTGAAATAAGTGATCGCAATATTCATATCGCTTCTAGAACCGATAGACGGATTGTGTGTGTGTGTGTCTATTTTTAATTTCGAAATTAAAGCGGCGTGCAGGAGACGGTGACTAAGTGAGAGAGCGAGAGAGAGAGAGATAGAACGAGATACATTAAATAAAAGGAGGAGAGAGAAAGAGAAAAAAAGGCAACATAGGCATAGTGTGTTGTTTGTTGCAATATAAAACACACAAAATAACTTATTCTCAACAACAAGTATGTCACACATTCGTGAGCCAGTGTCTAGTAGAGAAAAAATTCCGAGTTGATACACAAGAGTATTGTGAATAAAAGCGAGCGGGGGGGACAATGAAAAGTAAAAGCACGAAGGAAAGAACACAAAAAAGAAAGAAATGAAAAACACTTTAATGGCCGATACTGTGAAAAAGATGCGACAAAATCTAACAAAAGGTGTCAGATGCAAAATGTATCGCTATTCTCGTTCGGAAGAAGAGGAAAAACACAGCGTATTCATACAACCCGTGCGCATATATAAATCGCATATATAATTCGGTTCGGTTCAATTTTAGATCACTTGTGCTCACCAGGTGGCTAGTGCCGAAATGGGCTAATATCCTATGGTATCAATTGCCGTCGCCGTTACCGTCTTTGTTTACTAATAATCACGATGTGCACCGCAGTCGGTAGTCGGCCGCCGGAAGAAATTCCGCGTTGTCAGTCTGCAAATCGAGAACACACAGGTCATAATGCACAAAATAAAAAGAGAGAAAATAGACCTATAAAAAAGAAAGAGCGAGAAAGAGAAAGGGACGGATCGCAAACGAAAAGCACGGGAAACGCCAAGAAAAAACGAAATCAAGTTAATAAAAACCCATTTGGAATAATAAACAGCCAGCCAATTTACGTTTATTTATTTATTTATTTTTGTTTTGGTTTAATAGAGAACTACTTTATAGCGCCTAGTAAAGTACGCTGTTTCATATTTCAAATGAATGGTGATGCTAATTTTGTTTATTACTAATAGAATATATTATTGTAATTATTTTGTATTTTTCTTGTTGTCCTCTAAATATTTTAATTTAAAATCCATTTTCGGTCAACGTTTTCTGTGTGTTTTTTGTTTTTATTTGAACATTCAAATGTGACTATTTTCCCATTTTACTTTTGCTTGTTTTTTTTTGTCTGCTGATTTCATGTATTCTTTTTGTTTGTTGTTTTAAACTCATTTATCTCATCGGTTTTTTTTTTACTTCAATTGATTTGTTTAGTTTAGTTTTTACTGTGTGTTTAAACCATTTCAGTGTGTCTAGTGTCAGTATCATTTTCATCGTGTGTGTGTGTTTTTTTTTCTTCTCTTTTTATTTCCATTTTGTTGAAGCTATTAAAATACGTTTTACATATTTAGTTCCAGTTTTCATTTTTTTTTCTTTTTGTTTACGGTGTAACTTCTTTTTCAATTTAAATAGCTTAAACTTTAAAGAGGCAATCGTTTTGTAACATTTTTTTCTTATGATTTACATATTACAGAACAATTTTTATTGTTTTATTTCTCATTCTTTGTTTTCTTTTTGTTGCTTTGTTTCTATAAATGTAATCATTTTTTTTTTGAAAATTAAAAAAAGTGTGTATTCTATCTTTCTCTTTTTTTTGGTAATTTTTTTTCTTAATTACTCATGTTTTCTTTTTAAATATATTTTAGGGAAATCAATAATCAGGCAGTAAAGACGCATTTTTTTTAAATTAATTTTTCAACTTTTTGTCAAATACTTTTTTTTTGTCACACACTATTCTCAATACACATACAATTTGTTTATGAACCTCTCATTTATTGAATAATTGTTCGTTTCAAACTCTTGCGAATAAAATTACGGCGGAAATGTTTGGTTTGATGGTGGTGGTGGTGGTGATGGTGAATGATGTGCACACGAGATTCAACAACCGAAAACAAAATCGCTGCCAATCGATTAAATTGTCATGACTTGTTTTGAGAGCTCTTTCTCTCGTACGCGCACGCAAAAATAAATCATTTCGACACATGTTTCGTGTTGCATTCGATATGTATGATATACGTCGAATGACAACACAAAAAGAAGGTGTACCAAAGACAACGTTCAATCGCCGGGCAGTTTTACAAGGAGACCTAATGCCATGTTTCTTCCTTCATTTTTTTTTAAATTATTATTCAATTTAATTTGTCTCACTTACTTTTGGAAAAGTTGAAATGTAATTAAAATTGTTTGATTTTTGTTTGTTTTTAAAATTTTGTTTTGGTTTATCTCGTTTATACTGATTTTAATTGGTGATTTATTTTTCACGAATTTTAATGTGCTTAATTTGGTTTTTAGTTTTATTTTAGTTAATTTTTTTCTATTTATATTGAAGACATGAAACAGATGAACGAACGCTTTGGCATAACGAAAATCACATGAACAATGACTCGATGTAATGGTCGTCATCGATTTCAATGCAATGATTCATTTCTTTGACGCCTTCTTCTTTTTCATCATCATCAACTTCATTTTTTATGCTCATTTCTATTGACATTACATGATTTAGTTGCTTTTTTTTATTGTTTATTTTCATTTAATATTATTATTATTAATTTACTTTTGCGTTTGGTAATTTTTTGGTTTTTTTCTCTCAATTTTTTCTGAACCAAAAATATCGAAAATGCTGACAACAACGAAATTAAGGAAAATGAATGTACGATATTACACGTAAGCCGTCATCTAAAAACAAGCGTACATTTAAGAAAGCCTTTGGATTTTTTTGTCTTGTTGTTGTTTTGCGTCATTTTTTTTTATTGTGTGTGAGTGAATGTGTATTGTTTGTTCGTTTTATTTATTTTCTTATTTTTTTAGTTTTTTGTTTAGGAAAAAGTGACTCAAAATGTACTTCATTTGCAGTGAATTGTAGAAACTGGCTTAAATTACGGACGTTTTGAATATGCTCATGGATCAAACAACAATTAGAAATTTGTATTCCTTTTCACACTCGATAATTTATTTTTATTTAATTCATTTTTTGTTTGCTTTTTATTCTTCATTTGCTTAATAAAACTATATGCAGCTCGTTATTCCATCGTTATTTATTCCAATTTGTGTTGTTTGTATTGTTGTTGGTTTTCTTTGTTGTCTTTCTCTGGTTTAGTTTTTTTTTTGTTTACTGAAATCAGATGAGTTGTGTTTTCAATAAAATTCAGAAAAAGTAATTTTCGGTTTTCGAATGGAACAAATGGACTGAAGTTTTGAACTGAAGAGGGAATGTTCTGATTAGTTTTGTTCTTTTCTGGTCTGATAGTGCAAAGGTTAGATATTCATCAATATGTGATAAATGAGTAATAATCAAAAACAATGACCATTAAACGCTTTCCGGCTCAGTGTGTGTGTGTGTTGACGAGAATTTTTTCGGTTTTCGGGGAGATCGGGCGTGTTTGTGTGAGAGAGACAATTTGGGGCGGGGGCAGGGGCAGGAAAATGGCTTTAATTTTGTACGTATCTACGCACATATTTAATATGGCAATTTGTTCATTTTCTTTCACTTTCACTTGTATTTAATAATAAATTCGTGTTCGTCCATCTAGTTCCCGAAAATGTTACCTTTCGCAGTGTCACCGCTGAATAATACGACCAATGCCCGGGGGATGATTCGGTGCAGTTCCGTTGTTATACATCTCCACACAAGGGTAATTTCAAATTGATTTTACAAAGAAAATTCCATCGTTGAATTTAACCACGAATTTTCACTGGGCCAATACCGAACGCGAATGAATTGATCGTATCTATGCATTAACCGAATTCAAGGAGGAACAATTTGGTGTGATTCGGTCAGAGAATGAGATCTGACTGAAAAAAAATTGAATGGGCGATTTCGACACTGGATCGAACTTGAAGAGATATTGGGAGTCGGAAAATCTCGACACATCGAGTATACAATAATACATATAGAGCAACACGATTCGACACATCGAAATTATGTAAGTACCAAAACTATGGAATGGAACGAATTAGTGGTGTTTGTGTGTGTGTGTGTGCTGAATCAGAGCAAAGCATCATTGTGGGAGCTAACATTTTTTCAAAGCTAGAAGAATGAATACACTTTTGGTTAGAATTACTTTAGTTTCCTCATTTTGTTTGTTTTAAATTAATTTCTATCTCATTTCGTTCATCATTTTATAGCATCATTTGTTTTGTTCATCACCTTCTTCGTTTTTTTTTCTTCTTCTTTTAATTATTATGTTCTTCTCTTTAATCTTAATCATTTGAATTGATTTATTAAATAGTCAACGAATTATCATAAATTTATTTGACTTCTAGAATTTGTTCCAAATTTACAACATAATACAACGGGGATACTTTGGAGAATACAAACAGACAATTTATACTATAAATCTTTTTTATGTTGGTAATGTTCAACGACATTTGTTTAATTCATTCATTGTTTTAAATGGTTTTTGTTTTAAATATTTCATCTGACTTGGTTGCTGTTGCGGTGTTCTCAAGGTGTGGTGTGGTGTGAGTTCTCTGGGTGTTATTTTTTTTATTTGTTTGTTTTTTTTTGTTCATTTAGTTATCTCTTTTAGACATTGACATCGGTGTTTCCGTTTCGCATATTCTGTGTTCAATTGGGTGCTGTTTCGGTTGTTTGCTTCCTTGTTTGCTCTTTTTTTTGTTTTCTTCTTCGTTTAGATATATATATATTTTGTAAATTAATTTGAGAATCTATAAATTAAAGCAATGAGAACAACCTCATTATTTTTGTTTTGTTTTGTTGTTACCTCTTAATGGTGAAGAACAGTTACATGTGTTTGTGTTTTTTAAAAAACAAATATAAAATCCGAAAATAAGTGAAAATACAAACGCATTACATATGTTTTCTTTTTTTTTATTTTAATCATAAATTGGTTGTTGTAGTTGTTGTTGTTGTTATTTTCCTCAGTGTCAGTGTTGTTGTTGTTGTTGTTGTTGTATTCAGTTATGCCTATCTTGGAATTTGTCGTGAGAGATTCTTTTGTGTGATCTCATTTGTTGTTGTTGTCGTCGGTGTACTTAGATAATTTGTTCCTGCGATAAACATTCTCTCTCTTGAGATTCTTTTTATTTAACATCTATGTTGCTTCCATTTATGAAAATGATCATATCTCCTGTCTTGCATGATACTAAATTTATACTCTTTTTTTTGCTGCGAACACTTCGTCTTCTGAATTGTATTATGTAATAATTCATTAATTTTTATTCTTAAATCTTTTTTTTTTTGCAATTTTTTCTCTTTGTCTTGATTTAATTTTCTGTTTGTTTGTTTCTTGTTGTTGTTGTTTTTGTTTTTGTGTTTGTGTTTCATTTCACTTAACTCAAAATGTGTTTAATAGTATGTTTCTTGTTCTAACCAACCGCCTGGCTTGCGACGAATGTAAAAACGACGAATTTCGTCATAAATGAAAATGGATAACATGAATGGAATAGCCGGTAGCCACCAGACAAATCTATAAAAGAGGAACGAGAAGAAAAGAAGAAAAAATCGGCCATTGATTAGCATGTAACACAAAGAGAATCAAACATAGAACCCAGGTGACCCCAATTTTGCAGGCCAATCATAATTGAATTCAAAAAACCAAAATACTCACTTGAGCGGGTACATTCGAAGACCTTTGTCCATACCCGGACAATATGATAGGAAAGCAGCCAATGCTGTTTCGAATACGATACCGAAATTCAATGCCCAGTTGCGCATTCCTTGGTGAACGATTGAGTTTCGTCGTGTTTTGCAAATGATCAAATCAGCCCATTGGACGACCACGATCGATACGAAGAACGCTGTATGGCAAGTGAACTCAAGCGTCTTTCGATCTCGGTATGTCTGTAGAAAAATGAAAGAGTATTTCAGTTTGTTAGCTATTTGATTCTGGTTCAAAATGTCCAATTTAATTGTTTATAAAATTGAATATTGAATTTTGGTCGCAACTAAAACTAATATCGAATTCAATTGTAACTGCACATGCTCATTCGACTCGTATGCAATATTGTTTCGAATCCAGCGCGGTTGGCACAATAAATCCGAAAAATAAACAGAATTGCAATTGGACCATAGAAAAAATTCAAAACTTACCCATTCTTGGCCATATGAATCTTGTAAATCATTGACAGCCTTAGAATCCCAGGATTCACGGATACCGAACAATTTTCCGGGCAGGAAACCATTTTCAGCCATGATAACGAAGTACACGAAGAAACCAGCTGCCGCTTGAATCATACCGATCTGTCCGTAGGCCATTGAAATCAATCTGTACAGAACAAAGATTTAAGGAAATGACGAAGGGAAAAACAAGAAAAGACATTTACGTTAAATGCGGCTCTTAAACATCTCAACATGATAATTGCTAATTGAAAAATCAAGTCTAAATTGTCAAAGAATTTGAATATAACTGTTAAATAAGAGGTTATAAATAAATTGAGTTATTTGGTTTTAATTTAAAAAAATAAATGAATAAATAAATAAAAACAAATTATTTGGATTAGTTTGTCAAAGCATGCATAAAATATTTGTGTTGTGTTAGTCATTCAGCTAAAGCTACGAAAGCGCGCAGTGTAAAAGTGAGTGTTTCATACATTGAGTGGAAAAAGCAAGCAATGCATAGGGCGGTTAAATACCTTATTGCATTGGGCAATATATTATCTACATATTCATTTTTTTTCTTTCCGTTACTGTGTGTGCGCCATAAAGTACTCACATTTCATTCGTAATAATCAACAGAGAAAAAAATAAATACATAAAATAAAAGTCTCTTAACCGCAACTTATTCTGTCCAGGCAAAACGATGAGTCTCACCGTGGCAAAAGAGATAGAGAGATAGAAAATAATCATAATAAAAGAAACGAAATGGTTACCGTCTCATCATCTGTCGATGGTCTATTCGTTTGTCTCATTTTCGTCTACACTGAAAATGACCGCAAATGTAGCCATTCGCAACATTTGATGGTGAGACGATATAAGAACACATAAGTCGAGAGAATCGCGTCAAGTATTTTCGCTTTTGCTCAAAGAAAATACTTGACGGGACAACCCGTACATAATACACGTACACCGTACGTATCACATTCAATCTCATCACGTACCGATAAAACAACGCTACCAACGGTACGCTGTGGAACTTTTGCGCTCAACTTTCATCACCTTAATAATTTATATAGAAAATATATGTGGAAACGAGATCACATTGAAAGGGTACACAAATACACAACATCAACAACGAGTATCTACGATTTCCAACCAACATTTTTTTTCGGTTTACTTTATTTGTTGAACACATCTAGGAATGTTGCATGCGATTCACTATTAACCTCTATCCAAGCATTAACTAGTTGTGTTTTTTTTTCTGTTCGTTTTGATGGTGAAAGCCAATCCTTGAGTATTATATACTCCATGTTTTTATTTTTGAATGAGGGAGGTGTATCAGAGGGGGGAGGGCGAGGAAATGTTCTAACAACACATTCTAAAGAATATATAATCCAACGCATCTATCTACGTAAATCTATAGGCATACGTTGTTATCATGTCTTTTTTTGATAATACTTCCAACGACTCAACTAAATTCACTATGATTTAGGTATGGAAAAGAAAAAAAAAGAGTGTGTTCTAGTAGGTAGTTTTGTATGAAAAGGGGGAGGGAGGATTATTTTTATATGGTTTTTCTATAGAGTGATAAAGTTGATACAGATAAACATCTAGATTTTTGGTTTGATTTTTATGCTTGCACATAAAAAAGTATAGGCAAAAAATAGAATTGTATAAAGATGGACTAGCAGAAATAGATTCTATACAATAGGCATATAGGCTCTATGTGATCAAAAATTAGTGGTAGTTACGTAATGTTTTTTTTTTGATTGAATTTGCTATTTTCAAAAAACAAATGCGAGCTCGCAAACCGAGCCAATAGTTTGAAAATTAGAAGAATATGTTTTTTTTTTGGAAAGAAGAATATGGTTTAGGAAAATACTTGAGGTTTTTTTTTAATTTTCTGTTTGTTTTTTTTTGTGTTAGTTAGGAGAAAGAGAAAAAAGGTCTACTGTAAGAAAAATATAGAGGTATAATTGTTGTTTGGCCAGTGTGAATTGAGTACTACAGAGAATTTCTTCTTTTCTTCTTTTTGTCAAATTGAATATGTAGTTCATTCATTTTCCTTAACCTGAGTGTGCGGATGCTCTGTTGTTGGGCCACAACAGAATCGTGATTTTTTGGAAAATACAGGAAGGGAAATGTAATATTTTTGCTTTTCTCTTGTTTGCAACCAAATTTAACGTACATATAGGAAAAAAATTTGCTGAGAGGGACAGTTTTTATGTTTTGCTTTTACTGCATATATATGTGTTTATATGGAGAAAGCAGTTTATACAAATCGAAATAGAGTCAAGCTAAGAATGCAATTGTTTTCAAAATTTACGTTACTGGTTTTATTGTTTGTGTGGCGTTTTTCGAATATTATAGTTCTTTTATTTCGTTTTTTTTCTTCTGTTTTTGCATATGTATATATTTGCTGCGAATGATCGGTTATTTGTTTTTGTGGGTACGGCACATGTTATATATATTTCTGCTAGTCCGTCCATTGAATGCGACTGTTTTCATGAATTTGATTCATAAGCCAACAAAAATAAAATTGATTATGGAACCAAAAAACACAATTAAACAAAACAGTAGTTGTCAAAAAACAATCAAAAGAATAATAACGAGAATTCCAAGTTGAAAACGAAAAAACAATCAACATGAATAGTTTTTTTTTTTTTTTTGAGTGAAAATTGCCAATTGGAAAATTAAGAGTTTTGATTTCAGTGGAAAAAAATGATGTTGTCATTTTTTTCTCTTTTTGATATCGATTGCAATCGTCTTTTTTGGTTTATAATATTTGTGAGAGACTTTGATTAATTTCCATGTTAATTTTTGTTTGTTGGTTTTAACAAATAAAGCATTATCTTTTTTCGATTAACTTTCAGTTTGTAATTGAAAGTCAATTTCACCTCGTTTAGGCGAGGTATCTCAGCCAAAAACGCTGGATAATGGATGACATTACAAAAAATTACTTTTTTCAACGGAAAAAGTGAAAATGTCTTTTTTGCGAGATTCTTCACATTTTTCGAAAATGAAATTGAGGACACCATCCGGTATAGATTGATATTGTTCAAAGGGTGGAGATTGCTGATGCCATTTGGAAGAATAATGTCTCTTTCAATAGCGAGCTCATGGCGATTTATATTAATTTATCTTTGATTTTTGGATAAATTCCGTGAATCATTCAAAAATATTTCAATTTTTTCTTTTCATAGAAAATATAATCAAAGTCCAAATCACATAAATATCATTAAATTATGCTGATTAAATTAATTTAGTGTGAAGGAATTTGTTTTATATTTATATTTCGTTCCAAAAAAAAAGATAGTTCATTCGAAGTGTTCCAATCCAAAATGTGACACAATTAATAATCAATTTTTGATTGCAAAAATACTAGAATATCCATCGATTGTATAAAAACAACAGTGTGTGTGTTTTTTTTTTGTTAGAAAATTAAAAAAAAATTGAATTACAGAAGTTTCATACTCAAAAATCAAACAAAGGAAACATACACTTTTTGAATGTCGAATTTGAAAAAAACAAAATCAAAATGAAAATTTCATTTGATTATTTGAGTTTTTTTTTTTAAAAATATTATATATATATTTTTTTATTCGAGGGGGGGTAGAACTCAGAACAGACCGAATCGGTTGGTGGGAGCAGGGATGGAAATCAACAAAATAAACGAATTAAGTAAAACTCATATTGAAATCAGGACAATCATTTAGGACTAATGGGTGACTTAAAACAAATATTCAACCATAGAAAATGATTTCGTATAGATTTTTCTCGCACAAGCGAGTAACAAGGGCTTGAATACAGGCTTATGATGACACTCATTCAACAAGTAATTTTGAAAAAAAAAAGAGAATAATCTGTTCCAAACAAGGACAGGGTCATCGTGATCATCAAATTGATTTCATTCAGTTTTTATGAGTAAAAAGTGAAATGACTGGAATGCATTTTCTATAGTTATTGAATTGCTTAATTATTTTGATGTTTCATATTATAACAACTACCATCAGGCCATTTAATTTTTGTTTTGTGTGTGTGTGTTTTTTTTTTTGGTTCTTCTGACCTGCGATTGACCAAGTTGTCGCGGTATGGATCTCTGGGTTGCCGTTTCATAATGTCACTCTCGGGAGCCTCGTAGGCTAGCGAAATTGCCGGCACCTTGATATAGCAAGTTAGTCAAAGTGATTGGTTTATTTCACAGATTCTTTGGTTTTAATTGGCAATAAATTGGGTTACGTTTTGGTAAGATTTTTGGTAAGATTAAATAAGGTACATTTACAGGTTGTTTTGTTTTTTGTTTCTTTGTTATGTTGATTAAACTAAAATAAAATATTAAAGCTTATTAACATCATGGCAATTTTTCATTTGCATGGTTGCCTTCATTGTCTCATTCATGGAATGAATAAATTGAAGAGCATTGAAAGTTTCAATGTTTCTGTTGTTGCAGAGACTCAGTGTTGCATTCAGAGTCTTCATAAATTTGTCTTTGCATATCCCAAAATGCTCGACATTCGAGATGGGTCTCGATATATGGGATGCGTGGGACGAAGGGGACGATTGTCAATTTATTCAAAAGCATTTTGTTTTCTTTCTCTCCCAATATTCGAATCCTAGCTCTCATTAAACGAACTTAACCGTCCCATTGATTTTTTTTTCTTCTCTTTTCTTCATCTTCTTCTTTACAATATAAACAGACAAATAAGCACAAATATTGGCCCACCCCTATACAACTAGGTGGCACATACTATATTGCTATATATCACATAGCCTACCTGAAACACTTCAAATTTCATGTTTGTTCTATGTTTTTTTTTGTCAATTTTGGTTCTAGCATCAAACTTAGTTTACGTAAGCTGAGTATATAGTATGAAAGAAGTAGTAAGCAATAAAAAAAAACAATTAGCAAAACGACGCTGATATCGCTATCATTGATTATTGTGCACGAGCGCGTACCACATCACACGCTGCGCACGGATATCCGAACAATTAATTCTTTAAACTGGCAATAAGTTTTTGTTATTTGTTATCAAAGTGTTGCTGTGTCCTGTACTGTATATAAGTAGTGTATGTTGTTTTTGTGTATAAAAAAAAGTATTTGAAAAATAGTGGTATGGAAATAAAATCGGAATTCAAAGAACAAAAAAAAAGACGAAAAACTGAAATCGA